AATTGGAGTCTCCCAGAATCTGGAACCAGTGAACACTAGTTCCACCTCATTCTCACGCTTTCCAGAGTCGATATTGTTATCACAATTCGTTCCAGCACATGAACAGAACTGTTTTATATAGATAAACACATTTTCTCAAAGCTAACTGACAAACTGTCTCTGAACAAGATGCACATGGATGTTTTCAGATCTGTAAGGAGACATCATGAAATCAGTATATCTGACTATCAACAATGAACACCCTGCACCTGGAATCTAGGCTGATTCTTCACAATGCCAGTTATCATCCTGACCTCATCACACTTTAGCTGTATTTATGGGCATTCATACTTCTACAGAAATAAAATTACTCATGTCAACCAATCTAACCTAATCAAGAACCTGAGGGTTTGATAGAAAGGGATCAGCTTAAAATTGGATCAATTAAAAATGTAAACCCAAAGCATTTTTGAGAAATGATCCACCAAAGTTCATGCCAGATATTTTAACTGAAATCATCCTTGAGAAACGATGACTGTACTGTATATCCACTTTGGTCATGTCTTAAAAAGTTTTGCTATGCACAGTTTTTTAATGTTGCACAATCTGTAGAATTGAGTTTTAGCCATTTTGTATTTGTCAATGAGTCAGTGTGGTAGACATTGTAAATGGGGTTGACTAAAAATGTTTTTGTACATCTAATAATTACTTTGACAGTTTCATTAAATTCATCTAGCTCAAATGATATTTTTTTAATAGATAAACAATGGTAACTCCTACAGTTAAAGACCAAATTCACGTTTATTTCCTCACATATGGAGTGGTCTCTAGTATAAATTAATGCCTTGTGAGTTGATCTCTGTGGGGAAAAACAAAACAAAACAAAAACAACAAAAAACAACGCCCTTGTTTCAGGAAACATAACTTAGAGGGGAGCAGGAAACAGCAGGATTTGGATTCCTACTCATAATTATGTCCTGATATTTGGTCATCTTCCCTCTGATTAGCTAACTGTAACATGATTCTACCACTGATTCTGTTTTCTTTGCAACGCTGATGTTTTATCTCCACAAAAAAACACAAGCCTGAAGGAGTTCTGCTGTGTGGTGGAGTTGCTTATGCTAACTGTTAGCTTTTACCGAGACATGCTCTGCTCTCTCCATGATGCTAATTCAACAACAACCTTTTCTCTAGTAAACAAAGATGGGTGAGTCTATTGATGACAAACTTCTGTGGCTTTATCTGACCGGAGTGTTTCCCCATTTATTTTATGCAGGAAAATGGGTAGAAGAGCATTTTCACATTCAGGCTGCATGTGAAACTCACAGCAACTTTATTTCGAACTAACGTAAAAAAAAACACTTTTTTATACAACACAACTCGACACAAAAGCAATCAAATAATAAAGTCCGAAAAGGAGTAGTTAGAAGTAAAACTTGTACAATCCTACCCCCTTCTCACTCATTCTTATTCAACTTATCTCCAAAACAAAATTTTAAAATTGAGAAACTTATCTATATAAAAATAACAATAATACAGAGAACAAATTAAACACACTCAACAATCAACTTCTTGTATAATTCAATTTAACCCAGCTCATCAACATAATCATCCAATATATGTTTTTGTAGCTCTTCTTAAATTGATTTAAATTCACACATTTTTTTCAAATCTTCACTCAAATTGTTCCATAATTCAACCCCACATATTGTTGTACACATACTCCTCTTTGTTGTCCGAACTCTGTTTTTTTTTAAGTTTAATGCCCCTCTTAAATTGTACCCATCGTCTTGATCGTCAAACATTTCCTGTATATTACATGGAAGTAATTTATTTCTTGCCTTAAACATGATTACTGCGGTTTTAAACTTTATCAGATCAATACATTTTTACACTTGAAATTTTTAAAACTGTGTTGTTGTGTGTTACCTATATCCCACATTATATACTATCCTTATTGCTCCTTTTTGCAGTATGGATAGTGATTGCAGATTACTCAGGTATGTGTTTCCCTAAACTTCCACACAGTAGTTCAAGTATGGCATTACCAGTGATGAAAACAGAATATACAATGATTCTTGATTCAGTAAATGTCATGTTCTATAGTGTCAAATGCTTTTTTAAGATCAATAAAAAAAAACATGTTTGTTTTTATCCATGCAATTTGTGACTTCTTCTAATAATTCCATTAATGCAACCTGCTATTGTAATTCAAAGATTGAAGCTGTTTTCTCACACAGTGAGTAGCACTTAACATCATATGGATGACTCACAATCTGTAACTATTGAATATGTTGTTGTGGCCTATTTGAATTGGGTTGACTGCAAACCGTTTAGAGTTGTTGAAGCAAAGTCATGCCCATCTGCATCCTCCTTGGCCAGGCTGTGCTGGTGCAGGCCTTGGTTGATGCTAAGTGGCTTGGCTGACCTGCTTGGTCAGGTTTCAGGCACAAATCAGGTTTTGAGGATTACTTTATTAAATGCATCCTATAATACAAAAGGGTTTGGCAGTTTTTTTATTTTTTATTTTTTTTATTTTTTTTTTTTACTTTTCAATGGTTAGTTAGCTTTATTTTATGACCAGTCAACCATGGAAACATTATTTTCTGGAGTTTGTCCTTTTGTTGGTCTTCAATGAAACACTTTTCTCCAACATTTTCTTTTCAAAAAATTTTTCTAAAAATACAATCTGTACTTTACATTTGGAATTGTTAGTTGTTGGTAAAAATAATAATAATAATAATAAGATTTACGCAAACTGGCTCAAACACCACTGCTTTACTTACCTCTAAATATCATCTTTGATGTGTTCTTGCTGTGTTGAAATTCTAATTCCATCTTTTAGTTTTGCAGTCGCAAACGAAACATTGCAGGTAAATAAAACCTGTGTTTTAAAAAGAACTAAAAGATGCAATCTAAATATTATACTGCTCTGTCTTGAGACATAATTTTGTTTATGTGATTACTGCATCTGCATGCTTTAAGGAGATTCTTTAAGCAAGAGCTAAACCTTTTAAAATCAAACTTGTTTAGGATTAGGCTCCTTGTAAACAATTATTGGACTTCCCCTGAGACACATCAGAGATTAGTTTTGAAGAACATACATATTTAATGTTTTAATAAAATTTAATTTTTTTTATTTTAATTTTATTTTATTTTATTTTATTTTATTCTGGCACATGTCCATCATACCTGGAAGCTCAAACTGGGACATAATTAAAGGGTGTTCTTAGGGACAATATAACATGATCTTTGTGTGAAATGGACTGCTGTCTGCAGGGTCAGGTCATGCCAAGTGAAGGGTGAAGGCTAGAGCAGAGAGGCTGAGGATGCCCCTTTAAGTGAGGTGAACCCTCCGCATCCAATCTTGCAGCAAATACTGTAATTACAGTGAGGTCCAGAAATTTTTCAGCTGAACTTCCCGGTGGCAAAACTTCACTCATGCAGAGGTTCTGAAATGTGAGTGGTCGTAGATGGATGACACAAGGCTTGGTTAACAAAGCTGATTTTATGTTTAGTTTGCCCTAAACTCAAATATGTTGTACTTAAAAAAATAAGGTTAAGGTTGGAAACATTTCTCTACCTGTTACTTTCATTTGTAACCAGACAGAGATAGTGGGACAATCCATCAGTTCAAGAACCCAGGCATGTTTAATTGCACAACATCCATCTCTTCTTTATGGCGCTACTTCCATCCAGCTTAAACTCTGGACTATATCTAAACCGCTCCTAACAACCATGTTATCAGCCATTTATGACATGCAGCCTAAAACAATCAGCTCTCAGATAATTAAAATGTCTTAAGGCTACTCCAAATTAGACAAAACTTAGAAAATAAATACATTTATATACTTTTGCTGAAAATCTGACTCTAAAGTCTGAGTCTACACAAGTCATTATTTTTTAAACGTTTCCTTTAAAAGAAAAAAATGTGTTTAATTACTTCAAACATCATGGGCTCTGCTGAGTGAAGTGACAATGTTCTGCTGCATGTTATCTTTTTTTTTTATAAAACCAATAGAATTCACTTGATTTAAACAATTTAAGGTGTATACTTGATCATTTTACTTTCATATAGTTCTAGTTACTTTTTACCAACATTCCAAACTTCAGTGTAACCTAACAGTTTACCATCAAGTTTAGAAATTGTGATTAATAATGAAAAAGTTTTAAAGTACATCAACTCTGTTTATACATCCTCCAGGCTGTTTGGTGACACTGTGAGAATAAATAGTGGTGTTCTTCATCACAATCAACAACAGCGTGAAGCAAAAAAACTCACCTGAAGTCCAGATAGGTGACTCTTCAAGGAGTTTTTTCTGCCCCCCAACAGGTTAGAAAGTTAATAAATCCTCTAAGGACATGGTGAGAACCAGCATAATTCCATAACAGTTTGCTGAGAAGTCCACCAGGAGGAGAACATGTGTGTAAGAACGCACAGACAGCTGCCGCTAACCTCGGTGCCATCAGAGGTGAAACACCTAAATGCTGTTGAAGCGCTTGAGCACTTCCTTAGGATTCCCATCTCCACCCACTTTTTAGACTGTCCCTCCTCCACACACACACACATCAACATACCAACACACACACACTCCCTCCATGTGCCCAGATTGTAGGGCTGCCTCCCTCCAACTTCTCTTGCCTGTGGCCTCAAACCTTTGGGCCATGGCCAAATGAGCTTCTGTGTGTGTGTGTGTGTGTGTGTGTGTGTGTGTGTGTGTGTGTGTGTGTGTGTGTGTGTGTGTGTGTGTGTGTGTGTGTGTGTGTGTGTGTGTGTGTGTGTGTGTGTGGTGTGTGTGCATGCGTGCTTGCAGGCGTGTGTGTGCACATTTTGCCACTTTATATCTTCCCTGACCGAACTGTCATTATTTTTTGTTTGTTTTCATTTAATAAGTTTTTGGACAAAGTAACTTCAAAGTGATTTTGGGAAAGCATTAGGAAAGACACTGAAACACAACACAACATATGCTGAGAGAGAGTGAGAGTGAGAGAGAGAGAGAGAGAGAGAGAGAGAGAGAGAGAGAGAGAGAGAGAGAGAGAGAGATTTTGATGTTGTTTGCTTGCCTTGTGTTACTTTTCCCAGGGGTGGTGTGAGACCATGTATGTTGAATATTGTGGCGGCCCTGCCACTGATAGGCCGGCATGGCCGCATTGCACTCTGGGGGGATGGTAAATTGGGTTTGTTTATTCCGCTTGTGGTGTTCTGAGGGTTATATTGTTCGGGGTTATGTTAGTGTTGTTTGTTTCAGTTCGGTGTTCACGCTGTGTTGTCCTTATCTGGTGCCTGTTGGCACCGTCAGTTAAATGTATGTGTGGGGGGAAGAAAAGGGGAGCCATCCGGCTATTAAAAGTGTTCTATGTCTACTACCTGTTGGCTCTTCTTTGCTGCTACGCACACACCCTGCTAGAGGGCGGCGCAGACTGCTACATTGGTGTCAGAAGTGGGATTAGCGCTGTCAAGAAAGACAGAAAAGATGCAGCAACTCGTCGAGGAGACCGAGCGACTTGACGAAGAGAAGAGCAAGCTGGAAGAACAACTACGGCTGGGCGCTAGAGCGAGGACATCACGCAAGCCGGATGGAACCAGCAATCCGCGGTTAGCCCGGCACCCGCGAGAGATGCACTCAGCGGAAGCACCTACAATCCCGGCACCAACGGCGCTAAGAGACGGCGGCAATCAAACGCCGGTAAAACTCCCAAGATTCAGCTCCGCCACACCCCTTGCACCCTTCCTCGCTCAAGTAGAGCTGGCGGCTTTACATGAAGGATGGAGCCAACGGGAGACAGCGGTTCAGGCGGCGCTGACCTTGGAAGGAGGAGCACTTCAGGTCCTGGTGGACCTAGCATCAGAAGAGCGACACGATTGGCAAGCTATCACGGCTGCACTGAACGGATGCTTTGGGAAGCAAGCCTCAGAAGAGCAAAGCCGAGAACAACTGAGCGGCAGACGACGCGTTCACGGAGAAAGCTTGGGAGCTTATGTGGCTGATCTACAACTGTATGCTCATCGGGGCCATCCTTATTTCTCGGCTGCCGCCAGAGAGGAGTTAAGCCTGCACGCATTCCTACGAGGGCTAACACCGGAACCATTACATCAACCTGTCAGATTGTCCTTCCCCATCACCTTGGCTGAAGCGCTTAGGAGAGCTGAACAAGCAGAGGAGGTGATGCTTGTTGGACAGTGTGGGCGATCGCCGCTGGCGAGAGCGGCTGAACAGGAGGAGGCACTGGAGGAGAGGAGAGAAGTCAACCATGCCCGGTTGGAGCAGACCCCGAGACAGAGACCAGCCACCGGCCTCTGATACCGCTGTGGGGAACCGGAACACCTAGTCAGAGACTGCCCAGCCCCAAGTCCTCGGCCCAGGTCCGGACCGCTGAGGCCGCAAGCTGTGGGAAACGCCAGCGGGGTGGGACAGTAAGGGAACTCCCACCTCGCGCAACGTCACCCCTTGGAGTTAACCTACCATCCATCGGCCGCTGCGGGCCGCTTCATGGGCTATATTTAGATTGTGTTGACGGAGGACAACGATGCCGAGCCTTGGTGGATACAGGGTCCACCATCTGTCTAGTCCGGAAGGGATTCCTGCCAGAGACTGAGGGGTCCCTCCCAGTAGGCTGGAGTCCCACCGAAACCGCATTGCTGACCGTGACTGGTGAAAAAACCACAAGGTCGGGAATGGGACTGTATCGGTGGTGGTTGGAACTCATTGAGCTGAGCAGGAGTTCTGGATCACTGCCATTCGAGATGATTGCATCATCGGACTGGATTTATTAACGCGCTGGGGCACATGTGTTGATGTCCGAGGAACTGCTTTGTTTATGTTTATGCTTATTTTTTTAGCAGACGCTTTTATCCAAAGCGACTTACAATTTCTAACCTGTAGGGCATGTTGTAATCTGTGGGGGAAACCGGGGTACCCGGAGGAAACCCACGCATGCATGGGGAGAACACGCAACTCCACGCAGAAAGGCCGCAGCCGAGTTTCGAACCTGCAACCTTCGTGCTGCGAGGCAACAGTGCTAACCACTGTGCCATGCAGCCCAGTGTGCTTAGATGCCGAGAGGATTCCTCTCCAGGAGGGGAGTGACCCTCATGAGAAGCGACAAGGAGCCAGAGTCACCCAGTCGCACGAAGACGACTGTGAAAGCCTGGAGGTTGGACAGAAACCAGTTCCTGCTACTGTGGCCCCGTCACCTGAGGCTATGCTTGCTATGGTGGTGTTGGAACAACACAGCGGGGAACACCGCAGCTCGGAGCAACGAGAGCAGTTGGGCCAATTACTGCGAGAGTTTGGGGACATCTTTGCTGCTCGAGAAGAGGATTGCACCAAGACTAGCGTGGTCCAACACTGCATCAACACAGGAGACGCCGCTCCTGTACAGCTCTGCCCTCATCGCCTGCCATTGGTCAAATGCCAAGCAGCAGAAGAATTAATCAGAGACATGGCAGCTAACGGGGTCATTGAGCCATCAGAGAGCCCCTGGACTGCGCCTGTTGTCATGGTGAAGAAGAAGGGGGGGGGGGGGGGATTGCCACCCTGTGTGGATTACCGGAGGCTTAATGCTTTCATGTTGTCGTTCTTTTTAAAACACAGAAACAGTTTTGTTTACCTGTTTTGTCGCTACGTTTCGCTGGCAGCTGCAGGCTTCCTCGGGCTGATGCTGAAGGTGGCGCGTCACTTCCTTCTCCGTTTATCCGCGGGCAGCAGAGGACATTGTCGCCCTCTACTGCCCGCTCTCCCCTCTCCGACGATGCAGTCCCATGCGCGGTCTAACGTGTACACTCCGTCGTCCCTGTTCATGGTCCCACATCCACGTCTCCTGATCTCGATTGCTTCTTTAATCCATCTTTTGTATTTCTGTTGTTCAATGTTTATGATCCTTGTGTTGTCCCAGTCCATTATATGGTTTTCTCTTATGCAGTGATCTGTTACGGCTAACTTCTTTATTGTGCTTTCTGCTTCTTCTTTTGCTGCTCTTGTGTGTTTTCGACTTGCCTCTTTCTCGCACTCCTTTCTATGTTCTATTGTTTGTGTGTTGAGTTGGCGTCCGGTTTCTCCTATGTATGTTTTATTGCAGAGTTTGCATGGGATTTCATAAATGACTCCACCTTTAAGTCCAGCTGATATTTTGTCTTTTGGGTGCACTAGTCTGTCTCTAACTGTTGTGTATGGTTTTGTTGGTGTGTTTATGTTGTGTTTTTCCATTGTTGCTCTTATTTTTTCTGTTATGTCTTTGATGTATGGTAGGGTTATCACTGGTTTTGGTTCTTGTCTTTCTGGATTTCTGGTTCTATTTTTGGGTTGTTCTTTTCTTTCTGTTTTTGTTTGCCGTTTTCCTTTGTTTATTGCCCAGGTCGGGTATCCGCAGGTCTTTAAAGCATGTTGTATGTGTTTGACCTCTTGTTTACGGTCTCTTTCTTCTGTTACCATGTTTGTTCGGTGATATAATGTTCTGATTACTGACATTTTGTGTATGGTGGGGTGTTCTGATGTCCATAATAGATATTGGTCTGTGTGTGTTGGTTTCCTGTATGTGTTTATGTTTAAGGTCCCGTCGGTCTGCCTGGTGATTTTCATGTCCATAAATGCTATGCTGCCTTCTGTTTCTATCTCATGAGTGAATTTTATGTTGCCTGTGTCGTCAATGTTATTTAAGTGTTGTGTTAGTGTTTCTTTTTGTCCTTTTGGTATGATTTCCAGTATGTCGTCCACGTAGCGTTTCCAGTTTTATTTTGCAGTTTGGGGGGGGCGGTGGCTTTGGCTTTTTGTTCTAGGTCCTCCATGAAAAACTCGCTCAGGGTGGCTGATAACGGGTTACCCATGGCGAAGCCTTCCAGTTTTTTGTATATTGCATTGTCATATGTGAAGTAAGTGGGGTTAGCTACTAGTCCTATCAGTTGTGCTATGTCGTCTGCTGTGAGGTTTGTTCTTTTGTGTAAAGTTTTTCCTGTCTGATTCTGTTAACTACTATGTTTATGGTTTTTTGGGTTGGTGTCTTTGTGAACAGGGATGTGACGTCATGTGAGATGAGTATGTCGTTGTCTTCTATTGTAATCTCCTTTAGTTCTTTTGCCAGTTATATGCTGTTTTTGCAGTGTTGATCTCATTCCTAATAACGGGCTGATGATTTTGCTGATATCTCTTGCCATGTTGTATGTGTGTTGTACGTATGCTATCAACAATTTGTCATGACTCCCGTCCTTCACCCTCCTCCACTTCCTCATTATACCTTCATTCAGCTCACCTGGTCCCTTCACCAAGCTCAAGCCAAGCCCTGGTTTCCACAGCAACCTGACCTACACCTCATCAGCTTCATCCACTTCACCTGCTCCTCACTCATCAGCTCATCTTACACACCTGCTTCCCCTACTATATATTCACCAGCAAACCACCAGTTCCCGGCCAGATTATTACAGCCTTGCCAGTAGTTCTCCAGCCATCCACCCTGCCTGATCTTTGCCTCTGGACCTTGTTTTTTGCCTGACCCCTGCCTTGCTCTCTGCCTGCCACTTTGACCTTAGCCTGCCTCTGAACCTGCCTCA